GCCGTCGAAGGGCGCCCCGTGATCCGAAAATGGTATTTGGGTCGTTCGTTTTTCAGTTTTTTCCCTCTGTTTGGTGAAAAGCGAACGCGAACTGTGTATTGTTTAAAAGTACGCGTTTTTGTTGTGCGTTTCGACGGCTCGATTCGCACGACGCTTTCAATTTTCCGAGTTTCCAAGACGCTAACGCTATTCGCGATCGGACGTCAACAAAGATTAAATTGGAATATCTCTTTTCGTCCCGTAACTTTTCGTATTGTCCATTATTCTCTCCTCTCATTGTGTATCCATTCATAAAAAAAGACTTATTATTGCTATTATTCTTGTTTACAAACACCGGTTTTCACCGCAGTGGAATCTTCTAGTCCAGTTTATGAGAATCTTTTCTGAGTATTGAATACTTGCGGTCGAAAGGATCCTTCGAGAGTCTGAGAGATCTACATAACGAGTTGTAACTTTATAAATGAGATATCATACACTTTAAAATTACAAAATACAACAATAGTGTAAATAAAACAGATATTTAATTGAATTTATTTAAATTCCCCTATCTTTTAGTTAACGTGTAACAAATTGGTATCCTTGATTTTCGTCTTATTTTGCCCTCTAGAGCCTCCCATTAAAATTTTTCCCAATGATGCTAAACACTCTGTATAATCTTCGTAATTTCAGGCCAGAAAGAAATTATCCAACGAAGAGGTAAGTCGTAAAAATTGCGTCGGTTTATTACGCGACGAGCATAGTCCCTCTCGAGCATTATAAACTTGAGGATACCTAGCATGGAATGACCCACGCGTTCCCGTGAGACGCGCAATGGACTATTCCCCTTAATCCCTCCTCGGGGGGTGCCTCGGTGCCTGCATACGACAATGGTCGCTTAAACAATAGAACTCTGAGAGCATCGAGTTCTTCCGACGAAAGTTCTTCTCCCGGCTTCAGAAACGCATTAATACGAATACCGGCCGATTATTAATATTCACGAGTACGCGGCGACGATTGAAACTTCCCTGTCGGCCAAGTTTAAACTCCGTCGAGAAGTCCGCGAGATATCTCGCTGGTCGAAGCGTCGGGAATCGATGGAGGGCGCGTGCACACCGCCGATAAATTCACGATCCACGCACCTCGTTGCAAAATGGCCGCGTAAATCGAAGGCTTCGTTAACCCCCTCGGTTTTCCGTGGCAACGAAATACGGAGATTCGATAACGGCGTAATTACTCGAATCGGAAACTCGACGCTAGTTTATTGAAAGGATCCACGCGTCACCGCGGGAGAGATCATTTACGGATGATTTGTGGCAACCCACGCGACCCAGTTTAGGAAAACGTTAAGGGACCGTTTATTTATGAACGAAGAAACCCTTAAACTTCGTCGCGAGATTTTCGATCGCGCGACGCAGTTTTCGAAAAGTTACGAGTACCAAAAAGCCAGGCTAATAAAGCTGGTAAACAAGCCGAGTTCTGTCAGTTAATTAACCGCGTAAGAGATTCGATGACAAATATTTTACGCACAAGGAGGATAGAATTGTATTTGAAAAAGAAAAGAAAAGAGTTATCGCGACCAAGTTTCGAGGAACAACGTTACGCGTCGCGACCGGAACCGTTCTAAATTTACCAAAGGGACAAAGGAAACGCGGGAAACGGGGCTCTTTCAAAGGGTCAAAGTCAGCCGGGCTCGCAGTCGCTCTCGCTGGTTCGTGATTGAAAACGAACAAAGCGCGAGAAAGGAATTTCCACGCGCAGGAAACGTCGCTGGAAACCGAGATCGGACGCGGAGCTCGCGAGACTCGACCAGAGGGCAAAGAAGAGGCAACGGTAAATCTTTTGCGTCCGCCGGGTTGCTTTTTAAAACGCAACTTCCGACGCTGTTGCTCTTTCGTCGTTCGCGAGTTTTGTCACGGGACCCGGCCAGAGAACTTCCAGTAATAAAAATCTGATAAGGAAACCCTCCGTCTCGAAACACCTCCTTGCTCGCCGTTTCTACGATGTTTTTCCAACTAATACAATTACTCCCGCGACACGAGCGACCGGGGAGATATCTACACCCGCGGTACAACGAACGCTTGATCCGATTTTAAAAGTTAACGAAAGCAAAATGGAATCGTTCCTCTTACGATTCTCCAAGCAAGTCATTTTTTTAGCAAAAACTTAATGGGAGCCAATTAAGAAAAGATAGTTTTGAGAAAAACACATCTAAACAAAGGGATTCAGATACGTTTATTTATTTTGAATAATTCGTCAGATCGTAATAAATAATAAGAGCGCGATCGAGGGAATATTCTGGTCTCTGGACGGGTTTGCTATATCTCGGACTATTGACGTAAATCAAAGTAGCAATTTCAAGCGCGCAGCTCGACGATCCAGAAAGGAGAACGGAAGAAAACTCGAACGGACGAGGGTCTCATTAACTTCCCAACTGCATCGCGGGTCCGTGCTTATCGGCGTTATCAGGCCGGGCTAGTATCTCATGGCCTAACTAGAAATCGATGAGGACACGTCGCGGCTCTCCCGTCCGTTTAATACCCGCGAAAATTATTGACCAAGTTTCCACGGAGCCGGGTGTTCCACGGGCGTTCGATCGGGAAAGAAAAATGGAGGCGGGGAAACCGCCCGCGGAAGGATGCCGGGGAATAAAGGAAGCACGTTCCAACCGGTCGATGAATAATGCAGCACCTCTACGCGAAACAGCTGGGAATCTTCCGACGAAATCGATCAGAAAGAGAATTGAAGCTCGCGTCTTGATGAAAGGACAATAAATACTTGATATCGCGCGTCATCCCCTCGGTAGAATTGTCCCTCCCATCCACCGTCAAGGAAACCACCGACGAGTAGAATATTTAGAACGGGATTGAAGAGATCCTCCAAAGTGTTCTCTCTTTGGTTTAGAACAATATTTTATATTGCTGCAATGTAACTGCAGAAGAGCCCTCTGTGGCTCCGTGATTTGGACACTCGTCTTCGACCCTCGAGGTCTCGAGTTCGATCCCCCGAAATTTTCAGATTGTAATTTTCAATAATAATTACTAAATCAAAGTCCAAAGTAGAATATTTCATGTCGTCGCATGGAATAATCTGATCCATTTAAATCAAACTCTGAAGATTCTTTATCCAGAAAGAGAAAGGGAAGCTCTGTGTCCAGACAAGTAGGACACGTCAGAAGTAGAACGAGGAGGAATTCCGTAATCAGACAAATAGGGTATCTATGCTAACGACCACTGGAGACCGTGGACTATGATCAACTATGGCGAAGCGACAAGTAGAACCCAGGATCGTTAGCGACTAAACGAGAGGGTAGAATTCGTCGTGGACCTATCGAACTTGCGAAACGCGAGGAAGTCGGTCGGTCTACCCGGCGCAAGTGGAATAGAATCGTGGCACGTCAGGCAAGTAGAAGAGATTCGGTATCTGGATACCGAAGACAACACGCGTTTACCAGACGCAACAATTTCGTTGTCAGTTTACGCGGGGCGAAACGTAACTTTAATTAATGCTGGCTGCCAGTGAACGCGCCCCGTTAAGCCCGAATTGTTAATTACTTCTGCGTTCCGGTGCAAAATCTCTCTCTCTCTCTCTCGAGGGATCCTTTCCATATTGTTCTTCCGGACACGTTGCTTTAACGAGCACCACGATGTCCGAAATAATACGTCCTCCCTTGTTTACCGGTCGTCTCGAACGACCGCGCGACGCGGAACAATAAAAATAAAAAGAGAGACACGGGACAGAGAGAAAAGACCACGATTTCCACGCCGGCTCGCGAAATTCCACGAGTTTTTTAAGCTTTTCGCCGAGAAAACTAATTAGAAAACCGTAACACAAAGAGGCCCGCCGCGTGTTTAATTACTCCAATTGGCCGGCTGAATTGCACCGGGCAGTTTTCGCCGTCTCCTAATTAACCGGTAAAAGAGTAATAACATTCGCGGAGCTACGCTCGCGAATTCTATGGGCTGCTCGCGAAAATGGAAAATGGCGGTGACAGGCGCGCTTGAGATTGTACATAATTTTCGAAACGCCGCCAAAAAACACCCCCTCTCCCCACCATCGCGAGCACAGTCGACTAAACGAGAACCGGTTCCCTGCCTTCCGAGCCGGGGTTTCGCGTTTCTCTTCTTTCCCGTTTTGTTTAATGATGCGCCACTTTACGACGGCGCGCCGTCAAAGTCTCTCGTTAGAACGTCGACGTTCGCCGGCAAAAGGGAACGTTACTGGGATTGGATAAACCAGCCGGCGCCCTCCGGATCCTCCCGCATTTAATCCCGCGCTGGCAAGTGTCGCGCCGTGAAATTTCAATAAGAAAATAAATTGTGAGAGGCACTCGCCGGAACGGCTCGGATAAATTGCGAGGCAGGGCTCTATCTTTCTCTTAGTTAAACTTTACCGCCGGTGAAGAAGTATAACGGAATTTAATAACACGGATCGGGTTACGAAATTCCCCTCTATCGCCGTAGATCCCGCCACTCGAGACAGGGAACAACCCACAGCAACTTCTTCGCTTGTTGAACGAGCGATCGCGATCAGTAGATGATTCTACTCGCAAAACTGAGCAGAAAAGAAGGAATACCGTTTCTTCCTTCGAGCCTTCGTTTCCGAGATAATTGAATTCGAAGATTTGTCTGGCACGTCGTTGCAAGCGTGCCCCAAAAATTTACTACGTCGATTTTCTCCGAAACGAAGCCTCGAACTGAAAAACATTGTTCTCTTTTCCCAACTTAATTTAACACGTAGAACCCGTATCGAGCCAACATTCGTTCAAATTTTCATATGAAAAGCAGAATAGCTCGATGGTTGGACGATACTAAAATTTCTAAGGTTCCTTATTTTTTCATGGAAAAATTTTTTGATTAAAACTTTGTCGGGGACCTCGCAACGAAAGTTTCCGATAACAAGCCACCGTTGGCTGCTTACGCGTTTCGATAAAGATACGCGTGGGTGGAAAGTACTCGGCGCGCAGCCCTCCCCGAGTGCTTGACCGCGTATCCTACGGTATAACTATCGAATTAACGTTTCAGCGTGGGTGGGGGCATTGAGTGCTGCGGTTTCCCGTGGTTCGGCTCCATTGGTCGTCGGCGCGTGTCGTCGAGGAAGTACCAGGCTCACGGCAGTGATTGGAGGTCTCGTGCTGGCATTGGCGTCGCTCTTCACCTCGTTCGCCGTCGAGGTGCACCAGGTACTCCTCAGGTGAGTAAGAAGTCGCTCGATCGCCTTAACGACGACCCGCCATCGGATTAAATCGACTTCTGCCGGAGCGTGAAACGTCGGCCGCGATTTGCGATCGTTCCGTGGTTATGGAATCGTAAATAAGAGAAACCGGCGTTGTCCCGAGACGGAAATGATTTTTTTTCTGAAGAATCAGTAACCTGACCAACCGGTGACAAATTTAAAAACCATGGTGTTGGACGTCCTTTGAAGAAACAGAGACTGAGAATTTAAGTAGCATAGTAGTAGAATTGAATTAGCATAGATCCGACCCCGAGTATTATCGATTCGTCAATCAAGTGGAATAGTTCGCCATCCGGCAAGTAGATTAGGGCCTCTATCTGGTCAGACAAATATCGTGATACGAGACCTGTGCATTGTATGACCCGGGGTTAGGAAGACTGACTGATCTGGGAAGCGAAATACGACAGTCTCTAGAATGGCAAGTAGAATAGGTACTGTCTCTCATCTGTCGAGTAGAATGCGAGCAGTCACTTGTTTAAAAGTAGAACGTGGGCTCTCTTGTAATCCAGCAAGTAGAATAGGTACGTTCTTGCCTGACGAGAATAATACGAACAACGTCTGGTAGGACGAGTGAAACGAAACAGTTTCCTGTCAAACGATTAGAATAGGCTCCTGCAGAATTTTTATTATCGTACAGAACGATGTTAAAGTTTTGATTCTTCATATTGCAAATTTCTGCCAAAAGAGAAGGTTATTTTATCGAGACTCGAGTGACTTGGATTCGACAGCCATTATATTTCCATGTGTGGATTACGTGTCATTGAAAGAGGGCCCGAGCGGCCTGAATTCACATCGTGACTGCGAAATTGGCCAATTCCTTTGATAACAATGGCCGCTGCCAGACGTCCGAGCGGACAGTAGTTTACGTTTCCATTTGATGCCAAAAAAAATTCAGACCGTGCTCTGTTCGAACTGGCAGAGCTTAAACACCACCGATCCACTTCCTTTCGAGGCATCGTCACTTTAAATGATCATCAAAAAAAAACCCCTGAAAGCTCTGCTCTAGAACATTCGTTTCAATAAACAACGCGCGTTCGCCAAACAAAGTAATAAATTTCATTAAGCTCTCCGTCATTTTCCCCTCCCAACAACTTCCAAACTCGTCCGAGCATTACGCGGCTCTATAAATACGTAAACTCCTTCCTGTAACGCGAATATAACTCGCCTCAAGAAACTTCATAAACGAAGCTTAAATAATTTATAAGCTGCCCAACGTATTTCTGCAACGTTAAAATCCGTGGCTCGGCGGAGTTCGCGATCGATTAACTGTTCGCGATTCGAACGTTTCGTAAACCAACGAAAGGCTTCCCCGAAGAGCTTCCGGTTTCGCGGATTAATTCCTATTCCGTCGTTTCTCGGACGAGAATCTGCCCGTTGTGAATTTCTTTTCTTGAGCAATTACGGGAGAGGATCGTACACGCTTTGTATTTCTCATCCGAGGCGAACGCAAGACAAATTAACGGGCTGTGCACGGCCAGCCGCGGTTTTTACAGTCGCCGCGTTTAGCGCGCCTCGTGGCTTGCCGGTAATTTATTTCGCAAACAGAGTCCCCGGGACAAAGTGAAAAATGACGAGCCTGGCGAACAAAGACGCGAAGGGAACCCGGTGGAAACGTTTCCCTCGAAATACGCCCATTCGAACGCTAAATCGAAGACGATCGGTCCTTGTCGATAGCCTCGCCTCCCGTGGCCGTTCAGCAAAAAGATCGATACTCGCCAAAGGGACTAAAATATTTTTTAAATTTCAAAGAACGTAAAACCCTCGATCATTTTCGTGAACTTTAACGAGAAAAATCAAAGCCAACGGATGAAAATGTGAGAATTTTGTTTCTATGAACGCGTCGAGGAATCCAGGCGTTAATACTTTTAAGAATCGGTTTTCTCCCGAGCGGAAGCCATCTTTTATTTACTCCCACGAACGAATTCCCCGGAGGTACGTGTAACCGTGGCACGTGAATTTCCACGAAACGAATAATTAATATCGTTTCCCGATTTCTGCGGGAACGGGGCGAGGAACCGTGGCCCGTAAATCCCAAACGCGACGCCTCCCTGGAACTTCACTCTGATTCTTACGACGTTTCCCTCTCGTCCCCTTCGCGTCCATACGAATCGTTTTACCCCCGATTCGCGCGAACGTAAGAATTGTCAACCGATTCCCGATTCCCGATTCCCGATTCTCTACCGGCTGCGTACCCGGGCTCGATTCACGTTTGCAAAATGTAACAGCTACGGTCTGGTGCTGGGTACCGGGGCTGGCCTCGTGAGGGAAACTGCCGGTCTGGTGTTGGGCCATTACTTCCGAAAACGACGAGAGTTCGTCGAGATGGTGGTGCAAGCCGGCGCGGGAGTGGGAATCGTACTCTTCAGCGTCTTCTACAGAGAGGCAGTCGGGTAAGTTATTACTTGTATTTCCGTTTCGTAGCGTCGTCGATATCTGTTGCTCGCGTCGCCCCCGAAGATACATTTTATCGTCGATTTGTTCCAGTATTTTATAAATAATAATACAGCAGTCGAACCCCTTGACTCTCCACGAAATAGTACATTTTTCGATATTGATATTGGGAATAGAAGATGTCGAGAATATTCCTAGACAGGGAAAACTGGTATTCGATTAGCAGCGAAGAGCATTTAATCGCGCAAGTAGAATAGCTCAACGCCTGGGCAAACAAGCGAAGTAACCAGTCTATGGCCAGACAAATATTTCCAGCGGAGGTGTAACCGTACTATGTGAATTAAATAAGATTCACAGAAAGCAAGTAGAATAGGTTGTCGCGTGTCCAACAAGTGGAACAGAATTATTTACGGCAGACAAATGGCATGGAATCGTTTACAAGCAACGAAAATCCGTGAAATAATTAAATTAGAAGCACACACGAACGAAAAACTTCGAAGGAATTGCGGATATTTCAGTCTGACCCCTGTTATCGCATTCCCCTTAATCCGGAATGCATCTTTGCTGTTCCCCGCAACAGAATATATTCATAATAGCGGGGAATCGTAACGGAACAGATAAGTAAACAGCATGCAAACCTGTGTGGACAAATAGAATATGTTATCCTGTGCCCAGCAAGTGGAATAGGGTCATCTTCGAACGTACAAGTGGAGTAGTTTCCTTATTGGATTTCAAGTAGTACAGCCACGTATATACAGAGCCAAGTGAAATTGGTTGCTTATTACATTGCAAATGTAACGGAATCCTGTACATACGTATAACAGGAATAACTTCGAATTCCCTCCAAGCGTAAAATATCATCTTTCGGTTTTGAAAATTCCGTCGGATTAACTAACATCTTCAAGCCCAAGTTTGAAGATCTATTTACGTTCTCGTCAAAATTAAAGGGTTTGATATCGCGACCCGCGACGTATCAACAAGTAGAAAAGGTCTGCGACGCCATAAGTAGAACGGAATCGTAACCGCGACCGTATCTACGCAAACATAGATCCACGCGTGGTCGCAGAAGCGGAATAATTCCATATCGCGTTTCGCGCGACCTGTATCTTGTCAGACAAGTATAATAGTCTCCTATCTAGTTTCACGAGGACTCGTGTGTAGTTAGAGAACTGGAGCATCTAATCCAAGATGTAGAATGTACCGGGCTCAGCCAATCGCGTTCGAACGAAATTTCCATTAAACGTTTCGCGCGTTGTCCCTCGAATTTTCCAATTATTTCTTCCTCGTTAGCCGCGAAACCTAACAAAGAAACCTCTTGATCTCTGTGTAACCAAATCGAACGTCGATTTTGTTACGACGTCAAGTTTCAATATCAGACGTTTTATCTCTGAACGCATTTTAACATCCCCCGATCGACCGAAAACCGATCGTTTGGCTATCAGGGTCGCGACTACCCCTGTCCTGCGGTGGAACGTAAACGGATAAACGAAGATTATTCGACGGTGTCTGGCGAGTATCGACAAACAATGATGCCCGACGTAAAATTTCCCCCGAAGCTCCAACACACCGTGTCTGTTTTTCGGTGGCCAAACGAATTCCACACGAAATAATTCGCTGTGTCCGGTCGATGTAACGTCCAGCCGATTCGTCTATGGGTCGACGAATTTTTTGGACGATAGAATCGAGTAACGCGCGTGCCCCAATCGGCCTGAAATAAATTACGTTGCACGAAATCACCGTGGACGAAGAGTCGTATTTTTTACTGTTTGAAAGCATTGCAACTTTGGATTTCTTTGAATAGGATCGCATATTTTTTTTATTATATTGTATGGAACATATGGTGATGAATTTAACCAACGTATCGCGAGATTTACAGTTCTTTGGATCGATTGAATTACTATTAATTGAGCAGCCCGCGCGTCGACCCGAAACTGTCGCAGTGTCGATTTCAAGCGAGAAGCACTCCGTAATTCTGGAGGCCGAAAAAGTTCGCTAATACAAATTACTTCTCCTGCGAACTCTTAATTGCGTTAATGGGTTCGATCACAGTGTCAGGCCGGATGTTAACCAGCCGGTGGGGAACGAGCAAACCGTTCTTCGCGGAATGCTTTCAATTAAACGAATAGAGATCGTAAATCCGATCGAGAGGGAGTGGTCATAATTAAATTTCGTGGAACGCGTGGTAACGGAGCAGGGAAAAAAGAACCGAAACGAGGATCCGGGACGTTTGAATCTTGTCAGCAGATAAGATATCTTCGAAGCATCTTCGATCTGAAACGTCTCGTCGCCTCGAGTCTAATTCTCCGTCCTAGTGCTTGGAAATACTTGGAATATTACTAGTTACATGAAACAGTTTTTAAAAATAACTTCACTCTTTTGTTTTGGAAAGAGAAAATAGCGATAAAAATAAATCGAAACTCTAGAATAGAAAATAGATCGAATTATTGTGAATTATTGACGACAGTGGGATGCAATATTTAAATATATATTCCAGGATGTAGAACGTACCGGAGACGATTCTACGGTCAAAAATATGCAAGAATATTCCTGGCTTCCTTTTCAAGAATATTCTTCTCTTGCCAATTGCAACGCGTATGAGTTTCGAAGACTCGTTTTCCGAGAAACGGAAGTTCCAGATTGAAAATTTTATTCCACATATTTTGTCGCACGGGATCATTCCATTATGTCGAACGCGAACAACGCGCACAATATTATAGAAATCTCTTCCTCCATTGAAGGCGAATCTACGATGAACGTTTCCAAAAAATCGATCCTTTTCTCGCAAATATTTTCTCGCAAAGACAAGAAATATTAATTGAAAAATGGCTTGCAGCATAGAGGTAGCCTAATTGCTGGAAAATTGTCACGATTTTCAGCGGTCCGCTAATGCTTTTCTCGAGCTCCAGAAAGGTGATCCACGGTTTACCGCGAGCTTGCTGCATTGCAGGTGCAACACGCGAGATGGAGTGTTTCTTCCATTGAAAACGATTACGGTGCAGTCCGTGTTGATTCCGAATAAACAAAAAAAACTACCAATTAAGCGATACATAATCTGCACGATTCGAAAAAAATAAATATTAATTGCTTTAAGAAAAAAAAAAACTTCGCGCGGTAACGAAGCAAATATTCCTTGGCGACTACAAAACACGAGTTTTTCTAATTTCCTAAATGTTTATACGACGATCGAGGACCCGTAGACCCGCGAAATAGAATTCACTTCCGACTATCCAATTTAATTTTCCTCTATTTCGTAAATATTCTGACAACGAGGCAGCTCGAATTCGCCTAATTACTGCCAGGTCGCATTAGCCCGGCGACGATACAATTTCATTTTCGCTAATTTCCGAAACAGAAAGACGCCCGGGTACATGTTCGCCTCGGGCGGTGCGTAATAATACGACTCGTTGCTAACGATTCGAGTTTCATTTTCTCTAATTTTCTTGTTCGCGCCGTTCACGACGACGATCGGACCGCCGACACGAAAGTCGCTTTTAATTATCAAACTTCGCTCGATTCACCGCCGATACGGACTAATGCAATGTACTTTCCAACGAAATATCCCCTCGATCGGAAAAATTGAATTCCTTTTTGTTTGTCGTCGAGTGACGGTAAAACGAGGCGCGCAAATTAATTCGTATTCGGAACGACAGAAATTATTCGACGCGTTTCGGAGTAAAACATCCTTTGACGATGCCAAATTGAAACGGTGTAATTATACTAATGATTTTTGTTTTCTCTCTTTCTTTCGATGGGATTTTCTTTTTAAATCTTTTTAATCTCCGCGACGGACACAGATAGTACAAATAAAATTGATATTTTAAGTTCAGACCCTTGGAGAAATTGGATAATAAAAATAGATTTATTCGGGGACATAAAAAGTTGTATTGCGGAAACTTCCAAAGATTTCAGATTCGTTCGAACATAATATGGATCGCGCGTTGCAGGTACAATATATCTTCAACCCGGTTAGATATGTATATACAGGGTGTACATCTACAGGTGGGCAATCTTTTAGACTACTCCACGCCCGGAAGTAAGATAAGAATCTTCCATCCGAGATTTGGTGTCCCCGACTCTGATAATATTCCTAAAAAAAAATGTATCTAAATATCTTGATTCTCTATCGAAGCTAAGCAGAGATCGAAGGTTTATTTAGAACGTTGAATGAAATACACAAAAGAAATATTATTAAAAGGCTACTCCGACGAGTAGGAGTTGATTCTACTCGAGCAACTTGGACGAGTTTCAATGAAACATTTCTCGTTTCGTGGCCCGGCGTAGTTCTCGCGCGAAACTCTCGACACGGAACTTTTCACGGAGGAAATGTAGGTTGCGAGGGATCGCGATGCACACATGTAGAAACGTTACGCGAAATACGCGTGGGTGATCCTGACGCCCACGTCGGCTCGCGTTACCGGGGAAACACGCCCACGCGATTTTTCGCGCAACGCAACCGACCTGTCCCACGCACGCGATAAATCTGACACCGACTTCTATCTCCGGGAACCGAATCGACGGTCGCGACCGGTTAAAAAAAAACCAGCAAAAAACCATCGATGGAGGGAAAGGGAGGGGGGAACATTAATTCGCGTAACCCGCGTCTGAAACGGCATAGAAGCAACCGTACGATGGAGACGATACAGCCGTTTCGGCGGGGTGCACGCCCCCGTCAATCAAACGTCGCTCGACGTTCCATCAATCAATGATCGAGCCAATCGCGCCGCCATTCCGATCGACGGGAACGTCGCTTAAAATGGGAAAATGTATCGAGCGCGAGAACTGCCTACGCGGAACGATTTTTCTTTCGCGTTCCTCGAGACGATCACCAATTAGAATGGCACCCTGACAGATATTAAAAAATTGATCGAGATAAATCGCTCGGGCCTCGGTTCGACCCTTTTCAATACTGGGAATATTGTAATTCCTAAGGAAGAAGTATCCCGATAATATTGGAGCACCCGAAGATTCAACAAATTTTTTAGGCGACTGAAACTACCATGGATCTCGAGATCGAAGTCTACAATTTGCAACGACTACTGGAAAAATATTGGCAAGTTGAAAATCCACGAAACATATCCTATCTGGAAACATTATTATAGTTTTACAAAGTGGCGTCTAAAGTGCACCGGAGTGCCTCGAAATTCGCGAGATCCGAGAATCGGACGATAAAACATCACCGTAAACTCCGTGCATGCACTAAAGCCGAAAGCGTCGTAAAAACGCGTGTTCGTTAGAACCTGGTCGACAAAAAGGCGCGGAATTGAATCGCGTTCCGCGACCGAAACAATGAAACCATTAACTCCCGCGGGAAGTTACGTTACACGTGTCTCGAAACGGAACGACGCGCAGTGGTATAAGTAGAGCATTAACGCGACACGTGTTATTCGCGCGATCTACTATTCCGTGTTACGCGACGATCGTAACGCCTCGTCACCTGTTATTTATTATGCCGTAACGCCCATGGCGATGATAAACAACAAACAGTGTATTTCAGCGAAACGTGGGCGTCGTAAACGTTCCTCGAGTGCAGCGTTCGCAAGTTTTGGTCGGCAATAAGCGACGAACGAAGACGGTTATTGTTCGCTGCGTGGCTTTTTGCCCCCGAAGAATCCCGGATCTCATCTTCCCCCGATGAAAACGAGATAGCAGCGGATTTTGTCGCGTACTGTCTCTACCGTCGATTCCGAGTGACTCCATTGGAGCTTGTTTGCAAATATATTTCGTTCCGCGTGTATCTCGAATTTCTTTTTAAATAGGAATAGTCGATTATCCAGGGCAAAGTTAGGAAAATAGTATCGTATCAGAGTAACGAACGAGACGGATCCGTGTAAGTGTAAGTGGAATAAGATTGCTCTAACGCGAGCGTGTAGAGGAGGATTCGCGTCTGGCCAGATAAGGGAAATAGGACCCACTCAGGCAAGGAGAATAACCATTCCTCTTCAAACAAGTATTATACGCCTCTGGCCAGATGGGTAGAATCGTACTAGTTTGCAAAGGGGAAGAGGTTCGTACGCGGTCAGACAGAGTACAACAGAGACGCGTGTTGACAGACGAGGCAAACGAGTGACGTGTACAGGCATAGCAACGCGGCTGAGTTCTCCATCGAGCAAGTAGAACAGTCTTTTGCCGGTTCGTAGACGCTATACCTCCCTATTCAAACGCAACAAGTAGAATAAGTCGGTCCTTGTCCCGGCAAACCAAATTACGTTACATTAATCCGAGCAAAATGTAACGAACGAGAGGCCCTTTACGTAGATTTCGACGCTTTGAACAATTTAATTGCGTTGTAATTGGTACGAGCAAAAGGAACGATATTAATATAATTTAAATTATTACAATTTTTAAATACACAAAAAGAAAAGAAAAGAAAAAAAATTCGACGAACCAGTTGGCCGTTACATTAAAGCGAATGATAAAATAGACCCGTATTAATTCCCTTGATTAAACAAGCGTCGAACAAAGATGGTTATCGTTCGCGGAAACGAATGAAGGCTTCTCCGAGGTTTCGCGGGACGGCAAACGATTCCGTCGTGTAAAGTTTAAAGCCGGGTCGGAACAAGAGCGTGAGAGGCTTCCGGCTATTTCGTCGTCGCTCTCTGGATGCAGAAACGACGCTGATGTTTCGTACCGCCCCCGCGTTATGAACTTTGCGGTCGCTTTGACCCCCCGCGGCGAAACGGCGGCCGGAGTGTAATTCTGTTAGAGAAATCGGTGTTCCTCCGGGTACCCCGGGGAAGAGCTACGCTACTTTTTCATTTCCTTTAACGGACTGCAATATACATTCCGTCCTGTTCCCGTTTCGAACGCAACAACTTTTGTCCCGACTTGCTTTCGATAATCGTCGAAACATTTTTTCAAGTTTTCTGCACTCGATCGTTTTATCTCGAAGTCCACGAACGCAACGGAGAAACATTGCTCGTAAAGTAAGCAACGGGGGAATCGAGACTTCAACGTTTCGACTGTTCGTAAGCGCGAGGAACGATCGATTGAAATTGCAGAGGCATTAAGAGGTCGGTCGGTATCGAGACGGAGGAATAAGCTAGAATTTAATGCAAAGTAAACGTTCGGTTTTAATAGGTACAAAGTAGACTGGCTCCGCGGCAACGTTTACATTGAAAACAATCGCGGAGATAAAGATCGACCGGAACTGGCGAGAAGTTTCCCGGGAGATCCCCCGGTCGACGGATATCGCGACAGTATTTATCCCGATGTAATAGCAACGTGGGCGACGCTACGTGGATTGGCTCGATATTAAAGGAGAAGTTATGTAACTTGATTTAAGGTCGATTTTCTTTTTTAACCATAACGACACGCTGTTTTCTCAGAAAGCTGGGCTGGGAACGTGGCATGCAGTCCGTAACCGGAGCTCTTTCGCTGGCCTTCTTCCTGGGCTTGATTTACAGGAGTGCTTCCCTCTATCATCCCCAACGACGGGCCATATTACACCTGAAGAATCAACGGGGCAAAGTGAAAGAGAAGAAGACCGCGACCAGGGTGCCCAGGCAGCCGTGGGTGGATCTCAGCCCTCTGGGAAGTCGTCCTGTCAGGATGCTAATGCTGGCCGCTGGAGCCGCTGGTTTCGGCCTTTATACTCCTGCATTTTACATCGTGAGTACACTAAGTACCCGAACGTTTTACGACAACGTCCCTGCTCGTCCCTGTCGTCGACTTTCATTAGCATGAAATTGCGGGTACCGCGAGATGCCGGAAAATTAACCGATGCTAGTGTTTCGCTAATTCCTATTTTATTACATTTTACTTAGCGAAGGAGGGGAGAAATCTACGTTTAAAACCCGAACAAACGTGCCCCAAATATGCGCCAAAGTTGTTAGATTTCACCTCTTCAAACGAGGAAATTCAAGGATCGACAATTTTTCGACCTGCGATTAGAAGAGATCTCTCAATTTTAATTCTAAATAATTGTTCAAACGTATACTATTTAATTTTGTTTAAATTTGTTCGTACAAGGAATGGGCCAAATACCTCGTGAATGTAAAATTGTGCTGATTTTAATATGTAAGACTCAATGAAGAATAAGAAGCCTCATGATAGTGAAAGCTTACTAGTAATTGTACAAGGGGTTAATTTTGAACTCGTGAAGAATTCTAAGAGTTTTTCTAATCAATTCAGATTCCTATTCTGACGAAATTAAGCAGTTCCGTTTAAATCTGTTTTCAACCGTCGGGTTCGTCTTTCGCGAGCAACGTACCGGGTTTTCGGGTGGTATAAAGCGCCGTAGAATTGGAATTCAGAGTTTGTAACTGCAATGATAAACCCCGTTGCTCGATCGCTGACCAGTTAGCGAGGACCGGTCGTCCAACCCAGCGCACAATTATGAAACTGCCACGAGCACGCCGCGCGTATCCCCGACAGTGGCAATCAAACGCGCGGGATATAGTTCAGGCAACTTCATTGTTGAACAAAGTTTTACCAGAGTTAGTCGGTTTACACGCTCGTAATCGCGGGGCTGCGATTCGGTCGTCGCGCCCCGGTACGATTCGCGTAAAGTTAACGAAACCGGAGCTCTGGACATCGGTATCCGTTTCCCGGGCGATATAAAGTCCCGTACATCGAACTGCGATTGGATAAAATCCGTTACGCTCGAAGAACTGTGTCGGAAACTCCGCGCTCGAGGGGTCGTTCTAGCGTGAAACGCGCTTTACCCACTTTTTCGAGTGAATTTTTTCGCGAAGAAACCGCGTCGCGCCTTTTGCGGTAAAATTTACAAAGGTTCGCGCGTACGCGTTTCAGAGAACATTTTCTGGGAAAAAATTTGAGGTCTTCGAAACGCGCGAGAGAAACGGCGACGTTTTCTTCCGACAGAGGGGGATTAAAAGTGGACGTGTCGCGACGCTAAGCGTAGGAGACAGTTAGCAAATCCAGGAGAATCCTGTGTATCAGAGACAAAACCGAGTTCACTACCAGGACAAGATTCGGTTGAGATACGAGTTATAGAAACTGTTGAAAACTGCTAGTTTTAGCGTGGAGAATATAATTCCAGACGCTGAAGGAATTTTTCTACGAAGGGATCGTGTGAAACGTTAAAGGCGATCGGTTCCTGCGTTCCGTTTTCCGGAAATAAGGAAGAAAACTCGCGTTGCTCGCGTTTTGGACGTTACCAAGGCGCAATTTCTTAACGAGGAACGTTGGTTTCAGGCTGTGCAGGGGCACAAAGACGGCTTGGAGGCCAGTGCTGTGGTACTCCTGCAGACTTGCTTGGGCTTGGCAGCGGCGCTCGGCTGTGCGGCTTGGGGGGTTGTTACCGCCAGACCATCTGCCCAATGTCTGGTGTCCAGGCAATATCTCTGCCAGGCGGCACTGCTAGGAGTCGGTCAGTATATAACACGCTCTAGCACCGTAGTGATGGAGGGGTTTAGGTCAGTAGAATACACAGTACAGGGGGATGAAACCCAAAGTCGACTCGTATACTCTTAACCAGTGGTTCTTAACCATTTTTAACAGTCTAAAGGAACCATATTCCTCAGAATATTAATTTAACCCTCTGTAAAAGTAACCATTATCTACATTTTCTAGGTCTCAATTCTACAATATGCATCCATTAAAGCATAAAAGCGATACTATGACCTACAAACAGTCAGTGTAGAATAATTATTTTACAATATCTCGTAGCAATTTGTGTTCGCTGAAATTCGCCTCCCAATTAATACCTCGTTATTACCACGTGTCAATAGTTGAATTATATAATTTATTTTCAGAAACCTAATTTGGGCTACAGAGGGTTAATTAATGCTTACGTTAATTAGGCTTGCGAGGAACTTGCAAGGGATTGAAAATACAATCTGTATTGTAATAATGATATGAAAACAAACAGGTTAATTAAAAAAATAGAAAGGTCGAGTCTACGTCCAGTTACAAGGGCAAAATAAACTTCTAAAATCGGCTAAGTAGTATAGCCCCGTATCAAACACGACTGCGTGTTTGAAGTGGCTGAACTGCAGTCACTGGGGCAAGTGGAACAGGTGCATCGCTGTACAGACAAGTAGAAGACTCGTACCACTTCCTGGACGAGTAGAATTGAATTTTACACGAGCATACGAGCCTAGAAGAGTTCGCAAGAACGCGTGTTCCAACAAGTAGAATGGTACCGTATATGGTCAGACAATCAAAATACACATCAGAGATGAACAAAATGTAAATCGAACGATGCACAATCGACACGATCGTGCAACAAGATATTCGTGAATTTATATTCGTCGATCGTGAAACATTTCATTCAAAAAATCGTTATTTCTATTTAACGAATAACTGGGTCGGAATCCCAGCGGCACACTTTCGATTCCAAGTGCCATAACTCGGCGGCAAAAAATTCTACAGCAACTTTTGAAGGGTCGCCGTAAAGAGGAGGCTTCCCCCTTCAAATCCATTCCAAAACGAATCGCGAAAAAAATTTATTATGCTCTCTGGAGTCGTTCGAATTTGGAAAATTTTTGCTCGAAAGGTATCTTGTAATTAGGCAATTTTTCCTAAAATTTCGATTGTCCATTAACGCTCTTACTATTACGCTGTGACACGGTAGTCCATCGTGCTTTTCGAGAAAGAATTCGAAACGATTTCGACGAGAAACGAGACTATAGGCTGTCGCGTTTAAAACCGTGCTTCACCCCCTGTCCAGAGCCAACCCATTAACGATTGCGACCGCCCTCTCCGCGGATATTTGCCTCCGTGACCAACGCAAAGAACGACGGAGAAAGAGAGGAAGAATCGAGAGGTGGGCGGGCTCGGTGACTCGGGACAGAATGGAAAATACTTTGTGTCGGGAACTCGAGCCGAGGGTGAGCCGACTGAATGAGGGCCAAAGACGCGTGTATGCCGCCGACGCTCGAAGAGCTAGGCAGCTTCAAAAGGGTGATAGGGGCCCTGGAAGGGGTAGGGAATGTCTACCCAGGCTGAATGACGGCCACGTTTAGAAACCTCCGGCCGACGAACTTTCCGAAACGAAAGCACAACACCCGCCTCTATGCTCCAAGACCACTGCTTTCTTCCCTCGAAGAAGATACGAATCTCCATTTTACCGTAAACGCGTCGAAATGCCCTAAACTCTAACTCTACGCTCGAAAATTTTGAGAAATTCCAGTGCAAAGTTAGTGGTTTCCAGCCATTTGGAAGAACAATTGGATCCAAAAGCACACTGTCTTGTCAGTTATAAAAATAAATATAATTTGAGCGTGTGTACGAATCGAAACGTGACTGAATAGGGATTTGTTTCGATCTTTTTTGGAATGAATTTTTTGGAAATATGCAGAATCTTTTGGAGCATGCTAATAGATTGAGAGCGACGTTCTGACCGCGGATACTCCCAAGGAAAACGAGGTTTCGCGGTCGTCGAACCAACCGGGGGTATGTTTGAAGAGCGTGGAATATTTTATCGGCGGCGCGCGGTCGAACGTAAAATTTTCATCTCCCGCTGTTTCCGTGGAAAGGCGATTGACAGCGCGCCTTGTTGGAATTGAGCACGCTTCGAGGTGTCGGGGATTCGCGAGAAGGAGGTTTTAAATCTCACGTCTTGCGGTTCGTTGAGGCTGTAAGGGTGCGGTATTGCTTGCGTAAGACAGCTAGTTTAATGGGCTGGCACCGAGCGAAGCGAAATACTGGAAAGTATGCTTGTCGATAATATCAACACGTACCGGCTAACCGAAACAGCATCAAACGTGCTGTTTTATTTAATAAAAAGTTTCCACCGACAGCCGAGTAGAAAACCTCTGTTCGAAGACAGCCCGAGAACAAGAGAATGTATACGGACGAGGAAGCAGGATGAAATTGTATCTGGTCGGTCTGGTAAAATAAAATTTATCTGTTCGAGCAAGTAGTATAAAGTCTATCTGGTCGGACAAGTAGTATAAAATATATCGCGTCAGGCAAGCACGACAAAATGAACACAATTGAACGAGTAGAGTAAGATACAAATTTGGCTATGAATTTACTTGATAAGAAAAGAATGTAGTACATAGTACTACAAGGGCGTGTTTACGTAATCGAAACACAAAATAAGGTTAATACATACAGTCGTTTGTATTACGACTTTGAAAGTCAAATGAACGTAAATATTTCATGAGTAACAGCACGGTAAGAAGTAATTAGTTGATCTCAAGAGTGAATATTCAAACGACGAAAGAGAAATGAATTTCTAGCTAAATTACAAATGATGAACATTTAGCTTGAACAGATTTCAAGCGCTGCCATTGTGTCGATCTAAACGCGGAACGGTCTTTCGAATACTGTTGTTAACTTCAAACACAAATAGACAATCCTTCACGGTTAATTGCTTAACTGAAGGGCCATGATAAACTCAATGGTTTCAGAAATGGAACGGGTTTCTCCGGAAACAATTAGTTTGAGAAGGTAGCGTAAAATGCTGTGCGAGCACGCTCGAAGGAGAGTACAGTGTCTGTCGGAACAAGCGAAATAGAATCTATGCGGTTAGAACAGAGTGTCACACATGGCCGGGCAAGTTGAATTTGGTCGTATCTGGACAGACAAGTGGAACATGATCGCGCCTGGGCAGACACGCAGAATAGCCTCGTGCGTGGTCAGACAATTTCGGTAATGCGGAACAAAACCGGGGGAAGACGAGCAATAATAACGTCTAACGGAAGATTACTCGAGTAATAAACACACGTTTGCCCAAAACTCTTTTGTAAGATCAGCTGCTAGCTATAAACTATCAATTTTCTAGAATCGGGAAACCCCGAAAAATTCAAACAAAAACTTCCTAATGGAAAGTTAAATAATTAATGTTACAGAGACTTCGAGACACGCGGTCCCTTTAATAGTTTATCCTCTGGTTGGAAGTTAATTTTGGCCATTGTTCGAGGTGGTCTCGATTGCAAACAGACCGCGGTTGAAATGCAAAACGCAAGAGGAAAAATTCCAACGAACGTAACTCGTAATAAGCGGTGGAACCGTATTTTCAACGGCGAGCGACGTGCACGCGCGTCCCTTTTTCGCGACGAAAGTAGACTCGACAACCGAGAGTTAAATATACAACCCCGAGTGGGAGTACCGGAGCACCAAAAACCGGCTTATCCGCGTAGCGGTGGATCGAATTCCCTGCCAGCCGCGCTGTTCACCCGTCAGGAGATAAACTATCCCTGGGAAAAAGAATTTGCAATTTCCTCCCACGCAACGCGGCTCTTTTAATGGCACCGGAGACCGTGCTCGCGTTCCGTTGCGTTTTTCTTTCTATCGACGCGAGGAAAGTCGAGTCTCGAGACGTTCGTGCGAGTTCCTATCGCTATATCTTTTTCTTCCTATTCTTTGCCCGCGAAAACCACCGACTCGAAGAAGAAGAATGGACGGGGGAAGTTTCGATAAATGCGTTTCTGTTCTATAGAAATTCGACCGTATTGTTTTTACGAAAAGTGATTCGTTCTATCGATGACTATTAGTTTCTGGAACTGAGCGTGTTCGAGAGGACTGTACGTGTTTAAATTAGTGTCCCTTTCGTTGGGTGGCAAGTTTCGAAGGCACCCTTTTGTAAGATGGACTCTATGGTACCATCGAACGGACGAATGAATACGGTATTAACGTTCAAAGCGTCGATTATTAATTCCTCCCGTCGTGAATGTCGCCAACTGGGCACATCGATCTACGGAGCGTCCTTCCATCACTTTGTTTCCGCTCCGCGCTAATGACCGTGCACTGTAAGAGGATTACGAAATAAACTGTACCGTGTACCGCTGTACAGCTATGCTCGACACTCCATGAAGATGGAGGTCATTGGAAATCTTTGGATCGAGCGTTCCGGGGTACGTCTATTCGTTAAAGGATAGCAAAGAACCGGAAAAGGGATTCGAGGGCTCTTATGTTCGAAGACGAACCGGAATACTGATGGGGAATTGCATACAGAATTCTTGAGAATTTCCCAAACCTGAAAGAGTTCGAAACTTGAAGGTTTCCTATTTGTTTTGGTAATACGGTTGATGGACTCCCGGGATACTCAAAAGGAGATGCAATCAATAAGATCACCGAATTTTATAAAATCTTCGTACGATCGAACCAAGTAAATTGAAAATAATTTGATGTACCTCGAAAATATATAAAAAATTTTTACGTACGTTATAGAGTAGCGAAAACAAATTGTATTTTTTATTCCGACCCAGAAACGTTTTAATAGGGTGAAATCGACGCGAACGACACGAATTTAAAAAATGTGTGTTTCGACAGAGTAATGAAAAACGATACACGATCATTCGTTTCATCGAATTTTATAGAGGGTAAACCGCCCCGATAAATGTTCCCTCGCGCTGTATGTACTTCACCCGACGAATTAATTTTGCGCGAATTGTCACGTTCATAAATGTTTGCTCGCGTAAAGTAGGAAAACAGTACGCAATTGTGTTTGTCGGAACTAATTGAAGAGCGAGCTGATAAATACGGCGAATGTAACGGTCGATTACTGTTACAGCGTAGCGAATTTGGACTGTAAAACTGAACAATTACTCGGAATACAATTAATAAAAATCTTACGAGCCTAGTACTAAGATTGATAGATCTCTATGGGCCTAACAGTTAAACGTCACGTGTATTTTCGGCGAAAGCCATAGCACAGGTGGCGTTGGGCAGTGTACAGGGTTATCACGGACTGGTCCTGGCGTCCGGTCTCTACGGCGCCTCCCTTGGCGGCGCTCTTTATTCTTTAAAAATGCTGGCCCTCGAAAGACTGAGGGCGAGACACTTCGCACGGTCCTGGGCTCTCGTACAGGCCGCGGAAGCTCTACCTATTCTTCTCGGAGTTCCTCTTACCGGTAAGTTGACGTTTTTTTCAAACTAAAGATATTTACACCCCTCAGGAGCGAGTGTTGATACCCTTGATACGATCGATGCAAGATTGTACCAAGCGTTCCCAAACCCACGAGCTCCAGTTAGTCATTCTTTCCATTTGGATCGAGGCTGTCCCCTTAAACAGTATCTGACGACACTTCTGATAGAGCTGCCTTACCGATGGGATGACTGTCAGGCCCATGACAAAACCACGGACGAGCTATACGACTCCCATACAGACCGAAAAATTTTTCGGCAAGATTAAAAAATTTCAAATCGTTCTAAAAAAATTATTTTTAGTTGCAGGAGTCAATTACGATCATTTTTGGTCCAGAGACATACCCCCGAAATCCTAACCACTTTCGAGAAAAAAATTCCTTACCGAAAATATCATGTCTGACCATACGTTGATATGTTTCCCTGAAATTTTTCGACAGAATTAAAAAATTTCAAATAATTCTGAAAAAATTATTTTTGGCTGCGGGGGTCGATTACAATCATTTTTGGTGAATACACATACCCCCGAAATCGAACTCACTTTCGAGAAAAAAATGCCTTGTCGAAAATATCACATTTTTCCCCGCGTATCTTTAAAACATCATAACTTCTGAACGGATTGGAGGATTTTAATGTTTCAAAATGCAAATGACGCGTATTTTAGTGAAGAATATTTAGAAATTCTAAAAATGGGCCAAAAAATACATTGGATGTAAGATCTACTCGTACACCTCGTCTGTGACAAAATGCTCCACTCTCCTTTTACTAAATTGTTTATTAACACGAGAAATATAAACTGCAAAATCGCGTGAAGGTTCACGAGTGTCTTTCACCTCCTCTAAAGTAACATTGTTGAACTTGTAGGTTACATGAACGCGAACAGCCCGAGGATGGGTTACTACGCGTGCACGTTAAGTTCCTTGTGCGGTGCAGCGTTACTCTTCCTGGTCGGTTGGGGCCGGCAACCCTCGTCCCCGGTTCTACCCGGGTCTCATCTAGGTACAGGGCTCGTCCCGCCGCCGTGCGCCTGTCCCCCGCCCCCCAGACCCCGGCTACCCAAGTCCCAATCCCTCCACGTGCCGCTGGACATAGAGGAGAACCTGCGCGAGAGAGAAATGGAGAGGATGCAACACACTGCCCCCGAGCACTACTATCAGCCGCAGTTCTACGGTCCCCTGAGACCCAGCAAGAGCGTACCCGAGGGTCTGAGCCACCAGAACTCCTACAGGAACCGACCTCGACGGCATCGCGACGTCACGGTCATCGAACAGATCACCACCAGCGTCTAAGGTTCTCGAGCGGACTCGAAGGAACAGATTCGAATTTGGGAAGTTCTCAGGACGACGGTTGAAACTGTCATCGGAGACTCAACTCCCGAAGTTGTTGATACGTTGTTGAGATATCGAGGGTATTGTTTGATAATGTAAAGGAGAATATACGGAGAGTAATTGTCGAGCATCGCGAAGCGGATGTTTGATGATGGAACTTCATACATCCGCGTTGCAACCCTTCGTGGTTGGCGACACGCCTCGAACCGCGACCATTCGGAAGAACGAACAGGGGGGATCGAAACGGAGCTTGAATCAAAAAGAAGAACTCGACGTAAAACTATTTTTTATCGATATCGTTCGTAAAGCTTGCGATTCGACGTCGCGAAGCAAGGAACGCCGAGTGGTACGCGTGCTTGGAGAAGTTCCTCGCGTTCTAATTTGCGTCGTGCGCGACGTTGGTGTAGGACGATTATCGGTCGAAAAGCAAGCTCGCTTCGCGGCGGTTAATCGAGGCAATCTTTTGTGCTAGCGATATATCGGCGAACAATGTGGTGGCTGTTATCGGGTACACGGTGTCGGGGATGGAGCGGCCAACATCAAAATCTCGCATCATCGGAAATTCGATTGAAACCGACGGGCCGATTGGCGAATGCCGGGGCAGGGATGCGTGTCAACGCCATCGAGCCCCTCGTATAAGATTACCGCCCGGTCAAACTACGGTGATTGTGTTCCCTGGTAAATTTCGAATTCCAGCGAATTCGTCGGGTGTTTGTTTACGGGCACGCCGGTGGACCTCGGCGTGTAACGCGAACCGGAACTCGATCGCTCGCGGCGAGAATACGAGAACGCCTGGGCGTCCTGTTCGATGGGAAAGTTCGTTTCCATTTTCTTTTTCTTTTTAAACAGTCCTCGTGTCGCGTTTGCAATAAATGACGCGGTCGTGTCGGAATCGGCTGGCTACTTGAGCGGGAAGACTCGTATAAAATGGTAAAACGAGAAGTGATTGCAGCATAAGAGGCTCTAAACACAAAAAAATGATTCAAGCAATTTCTAATTTAATTATGCAACAAACGCAGTTTAAATAATTATTATTACGAAGGATGTTAGTTCATACGACGCGTAGTACTACAAGAACAAAGGATTAAAATGCTAGACATAAGAAAAACATTTATTATTTCATCCAAAATCAAATCCTTATGCTGTAAAAAAATTGTTAAATATCACTTCTCGTTTTACCATTTTGCACGAGTCTCCCCCCTTAAAAGGGTCCTTACATCTCTCGAGCACGGCTAGTAGAAGCTTTTACGAATTTTCAATATTAATTTAACAGGGTTCGTCCCGAACAAAAAATTGTATATCTCGATTTAAGGTAAATGAAAATATTATCTAAACATAATATGCAAACTTACATCGGTAAAATATTTATGATTTGATTTTGCCATGGCTTGACAAAATATTTTAACTAGTGCTAGTCCTTTAAAAATATTTTTCTAAAAAGAATTCGATTGTTCGAGGCCTCTAGAGCGAAGAGATCCTTTAAGATTCCAACCGATTCCATTTAGAGCTTCTAGTCTGAACTGGGCATTATTCGAACACACTCTGTTCAAGTTTAAGAGTAATATGAATGTTATTCCTGAATGAATTATTTTATAAACACTCGAACCAGTAAAATTTCATTTGAAATATATTTCGATAGGAGCGAAATGAAATCTTGAAATTCTGTTATTTTGCAACGGAGTGGTAAGCTGCTTTTGTTTCACGCGTACGTCAACGTTTAAGAATCATCGATCCAAACGAACTTGTTAATTAACCCAATAATTACGCACAAGAGACGCGAACGTTGTTTGTAAAACGAACAATGTTGGCGCAAGGGAACGAGGTCTTACGAGAAGTTTGAATTCAAACGTTTTTTGAGAGCACGATATTACTGACATTAAATCAAACGACTTGTAAAATCAAACACGAGTGGAAGAGAATTGTGAGGTAATTAGGAAAATGAATCTTAGATCGTTGAAGGCACCATGGGGGAAGTTTTATGCTAAATACACGCTGGTATTTATGTGTATGTAAATGGAATTTATATAGTCTATCTGATCTACGATTAAAGTACCGAAGTAAGTTAGGGAAATACTTATTCGTGTTAATGGTTTCTTAGTTACGATATTATTGCGAGGGAAGTATCTGTCTCTCCATGATGTACCATGAAATATCGATTTAAAATTGAATTCAAAGTTTCTTTTAAATTAAGTTAAAGACTCGACAATTTAAAAAATTCCAAAAATCGTCGTTCGTCAACGTGTAAAATAAATAATAAAAACTATCCACCGCTTTCACATTTTCGCTGGTTCTCGAGACAAACGCGAATTGTTACGAGTTGATCGATATTTCCCTCCCGTGTGTGTTCACAAGATAACATTTAGACTCTAAACAGAATAAAGGGAGAGAGAATGAGAAATCGATAGCACGAGCGAAGTTAAGTTTCTAGAGAGAAAGATTTATTAGAAAATGGAGCTGGTCTCCAAGATCGCCACACGAATCGCTAGAGACTTTGTTTACGTTTAAGATACAGTACGTAGAAACCTCGAAAGTAAGTACAACTTAGGAACAACTGAACGTATACATATTATATTAAAAAAAGAAAAAAAAAAATAAAGTAAAAAGAAAACGAATCAAACACGCACGGATCGCGATGCTCTTGCCTCGTCGAAAAAATTTGTTCTGTAACTCGTGCGTACACGCATACCAATGTATCCGGAAGCTCAATCGTTGCCTCTGCTAGAGAGACAACTACTGTTTCCTTTCGAACTTCTGAGACGAGGAACAGACTCGAGAAAGCTTCGACAAAGAATTGTACACTACCCGCAACAAGTACTCTACCTGTAGCTCGTTAAAAGACTCACCCAAATTCTCATTGAAATTACAACTAAACCGAACTACAATCTAAGAATCAACTAAGCACTTCGATATCGGCTCGTTTTGAGTCGACGTTGACCTTTGATTGGTGGCCCTCGTTCCGAGATCAGCCAACCGACGGCTATTTTATACTAATCGTCACTATATTATTAACAGTATTGTTAACTACTATATATATTGTACTATATTGTTAACGATCCTTATCACAATTTATCAAAAAAGAAAACGTAGAAAATAATATAGTAGCGACGGGTTACTGCAAGATCTAGAAAACGACACTGTGATAATTTCATGGAAAGAGAATATACTCGTTTTTAAAGGACTGAAATGTACGCGATGCGTCTCGTATTAATTTTCAATTATTGATAATTCAGATATATATTCCAAATCAAACTGAACTTTGCGTTTTTCTTTATCGTTGAATTTCTTCTGTATAATTGTAATTATTTAATATTCTTTTTGATAATTACAAGACCAAACTTTTGCAGTAACCGCGCTGTGTCGAACCAACAATGGCGCCAATTGAAGGTTGAAGCATTTTATTCCTATTAGCGCGTAAAGGAATGATTCGACGACTTTGATACGCCAATTCAGTCATCAAACGGTAAAATGATTAGTACCTGAATATTAAGTGTTCTAGGTTTACACGACTATTAACTACGTGACGATCGTTTAATTATCGAAAATGAAAAATCGTTTTTACATAATAGACTTTATCGTACGTTGGAGTTATCCGAACCTCCGAAATGGTTTTCGAAAAAAAGAACTTCGCACTCGACGATGGTACGAAATGAACCAAAGATGTCGCGAGAATGTTTGTTGGATTTATGGAACTGTATGAACGATCTTCTTATTTAATCGTTTCGTAAGGAGATTCCGTTATATCTCACTTTTGATCTTCGCTGTTACCGAACACCACGCTTATATCGTTGCTGTACTGTTAAAATCGTATTGAAAGTTATCTCGTTGCCCGCCACTGCAATTAAGAATGGCGAAAATCTGATGCAAAGTTTAAAAGACACGCGACTAAATTTCAAAAGGATAAGGTAATCATTTACATCGAAGATTTCTTCGTTGATTTCAATGTAAATGATTGCCAAAAGAAATTGGACCGTAAGAAGAAGTCTAGAGTTGGAACTTCGCAAGACTTTTTCCTTAATAATATATCGTTTCAACAATTAAACCTCGAGGTGTTTACGACATTCTTCATTTTTCTCTGTGGTGAATTGTTCGTATACTGCCAGATTTTTATAAAACACTACAGCATAAATATCTTCGACACACACGCATGTATCCCACTTACAACAATGTTACCAAGGACAGATATTTAAGTGTAACTCCGAGTGTGCAACAATTAAATCAAGAACCAACAGATTCAATCGTTATAGGATTAACTTTTAAGGATCGAGCCTATTCCAAAGACGATCGCGAAACGTTAATTTCGAGCTTCCGAAACTCCGGAAAACTTAAAAGAAATCATTTTTAGAAGTTGCAAAATTATTCTCGACGTTTTCGATCGAATTTGGAAAGAAGCAAGGGACAAACGATGCGAGACAGAATAGACAACTGACACTTGAAACTTTTATTAATCTTAATCCTAAAATAACACGAAGATCGAATCTTTTTTCTATCCTCGTAGCTATTTCTACCTAACAGAGACCAGAATTTAGTCCAATCTACACGAACCAAGAAACTTCAGAATTTCTACAATTATTAAAATACACAATCCACTTTCGAAGATGGGCAAAATTTTTATTCGTACAATAGATGATCAAGAAAATGAAGAAATATTACTATAATCGAAACGTGTGCTTTTACTTAACGAGTAACGGGTGAACGATTGTTTATTTGTTTTATTCGTTATTCAGAATTGTTATTTTGCCCTTCTCTTACGTATTTTGAGACGACTACGAACGTACGAAGAGAGTATGGACACTTGTACGGAGCGTGAAAAAGATATTTGTCACGATTATTCGAGATTTGTTAAATAATTGCAAAATTCAACGTTCGCGTTCAGTATCAAACATTCCGTGTATTTCTACGTATTTTACACAACAGGGGAACAAAAAGTTTACCAGAGAACCGTACGTTGGAAACGATTGCTGAAGTCTCGACCAATTAATCAGCGCGATGTGACTTTTGGGAATAAAGTACTTCCCCCTGACTCCCTCTACAGTAAACACATGATTTTACGTTGGGAAAACTTTTACTCTCTAAAGTTACCCCGCGATATATAGGTTCCTTTTGAACTGTGTATTCCTTTATAAACAATAAAAGACAATTTTTTGCTCTGATGCGTACGAAATGTTAAAGTGTTTATCCAAAACGTATTTACTTGGTCTACTCAGAATGCACTATACAATAATGTATATACAAATTAATTCAATTTACTGCCTCTGCATACTAAAATCATAAAATAAAAATAAATCGAGTTCTCAGTTTGTTCAGTATCGATAATAAATGATCTGTACCGAGTAACTGGAGAGATTACGCCCAAATAGAATTAAAATTCTCAAGATTTCTTAGTTCTTTCCGTGACAAATATTTGTTTTTTTCGCTCCCTGTACGTCGTGCCGATTTAAAGGCGTCGTTAAGAAGACAAACAACCATTTCTCCGACTTTTATTCGTGTTCCGTTTCGTTAACTGTAAACGTAACTAAATGTACGCTTAAAAAACGATGTGTAAAGTGAAGCTATAAACGGGCAGAGACGGAACGGCCGTTTGGGAACTTGGAGCGAATACGTCGTTAAAGCCGAAGGGCGTTAAGAAACTTTCTCGCGCAAGCGAACCGACTGTTGACTTCGAATTGCTACGTAGACACGTATTAAACTTTCGTAGGAGAAAGGAGGCTGAGCTTTACAGGAAGTATTTGCACAATCACGATAGACTTCGAAACGGAAAGTCATCCCCAACATCGACTCTCCCCGAAACTCTGTTATTATATGTAATTTCGAGGAATCTCGTACCAGCTTCTTGTAAACCAACATTTACAACTACACGTAACTTCTTCACCTTGTAAATACATGCAAGGTCTCCCCCCTCCCCTCCCCCATTACGAAACGTTGAACATTTTGTAAAGTTTTATAAATAGTTCTATGTAGTTGAACAGCTGGACCAATAAAAC